TTGGCATAATGATAGTTTCTTGGAATTGAGGTCAAAAAGTTGACTTCCATCCCAAAAATGGGTGGTGGTGGGTAGCCTCCCTCTGCCTTCATGATGTGTTGGGAGTTTCTGGGGATTGATGGTGTTTTGTGTGAAGGTATTTGTGTGCAACCTTTGTTCGAGGAAGATGTTGGGAGAAGCCAGTGTGCATCATCCCCGAAGCACTGGGTGGATGCAGTGGGATGCCAGAAACCCATCTGCTCCTGCAAAGCCTCATTCTTCCTTAGATTTTAATTTCAAACAGGACTTTGGACTTTATTCCATAAATGACTGTTTGTGGATCGTGGTATTAAAATGTTCATCGTTTTTGCCCAGCTGCTGATATGAGGCTCTTTTCCATGGAAAGAACTGGGGCTGATAGCAGGCTGTGCTGCTGGAGATGCCATGCTCCTGCCCATGTTCTTGCCCAGCGTACATGCTCCTGGTTTGCTTGCTCAGCATTTTCTGTAAAGCGTTTCCTGTGCAGCCAGGTGCTTCTGCCTATGGTACTTTCTGCAGACATAGTTGAAACATCTCCCTTACAAAATGGGTTTGTGTGGCAGGGGCCAGCAGATCCCACCTGTATTTGTACCTCTTGGGAGTCCCTGCCAGGTAGGAAACAGGTTTTTTTCCAACTTTGGCTTTGTGGCTGGCAGAGTTGGGTTAGGTGGGAGGAGAATGGTGATGTGACTAATTAAATCAAGTTTCAACAGCAGTGTTCCAACACTTGCTTAGCAAATGTTTTATCTCTTGTTACACCCAAGTCCTGTTGACTTTCTGCCAAAAGCTAAGCATGGGTGTCCTCAGGCAATGCTACCAAATGAAGGAGGTCAGGAGCTTTCCTACCACGTGCCAATGCTGGCATGAGAGAGAGAGCAAGAGCTTTGTGGGGAGGGAAGGGCAGGACCAGGATGGGGCACAGCCCCTTTAGTTCATCTCAAGCTGTGGTTTGTGATTGCACCCAAAGGCTTTTGTTTCAGGAAGACCTTTTTGTTGGCAAAATTAATCCTGTCCCTTCCTTCAGCTGCTCAGGTTTGGCTCAACACCTCTCTTAAGCCAGATTGTGCTGCTGTGGGTTGAGGGAAACCAACTTAAGTCCAACCCAACCCTTATTGCGTCAGTTGTGTCTGGGGGAAGGAGAGAAGCACTTCCTTCACCTGTTTTGGGGCAGTACCCTCTGATTTTTCTTGCAACTTCAAATGAGGAGCAGGATATGGTTGATCTGTGCCTATCTCACCTGTGTTGCTCTGCAGAAGTGTCCATTTTAGTGTTTCTTATGGACCTCCAGTGGCCTTGGGGGAATGAGCATTTCTGTACCCATTGCCCAAGGAGGAAAAAAGAGGCAGGAAAAACTACATGGCTTCCTGGAGATGCAGGAGCAGAGCTCAGCTTTTCTCTTTGTCACCACCACCACCCCACCGTTCTCCCTCAGGGGGACAAATCCCTGTTTCAATTCCCTCTCCCTCCATTCAGATGAGGGTTTTTACACAACGAGTGCAGATAAGGCAGTTAGCTACAAACTGGGCTCTGTGTGATCCATTACAGAGCAAGGTGTGGGTGTTTCTTGGTGAGCTAGAGCAGCACGTAAATTAGTACCCAGTCTTGGAGCTGTGCCCCTTCCTGCTGGGACCATCTTGGGCACAAACAAAAGGGTTTCTTGCAGTCCTGAGCACCCAGCGGGATGAGGATCCTTACCAAATGGCTTTTTAAAAAGATCTGAAAGCAGGTAGCAAACACATAGGTTTTTTTTAAAGTGTCTCCTTAATGCAAGCATCCTTAGGAACTGTTTTAAGGAAAATGTACATATATTTAGTCATCCAGAACTTTATACATGCTTTTATTCAACTCATCTAAACTTTGACAGTGGAAAAAAAAAAACCTGCAAAAGGCCTTTTTCCTGGCGCAGTTGCTGTTTGCAGAGTTGGGTTTGCGTGTTTGCAAGCACATCTTAGTCTTCATCTGAGACTTGTTCCAGAAAAGACAACTGTCTTGGGGGAAGGGATCCTGGGCTCAGCACAGGATTTAGCAGCCTTGGTTTGCTGGTCCCAGAGCCGATGTAGCTCCTGCTCACATCTCTTTAACATTCCCTTTTCAAAGCACAGTGGAAACGTCAAATCTCACTGCAGCTTTGTGCATTGCATTGGCCCTTCGTTGCAGGCGAAGGAAACAGGCTAGACAATATTGCTCGAGGTTATGGACAGAGGTGGCTGAGCCAGGATTAGATTTTGGGGCTGCTTCCTAGGCAAATGGTTCATTAAACCTTCCTGTTTTCTCAGAGATGGGGTTGGAGAGGGAGAGGAAATTTCCAACTAGAGCAAAAGCAGGATTTGGTTTGAGATGATGGAAATGATATTAAAAAATTTATTTCAAGGACTGGAGCAGAAGGTGATTGTGAGTATCAGCTATCAGCTGGAAGCCATGTGAAGTATTAGAATGAAGCGAAGATATTTACTCATTCCTTTATAAATAAAAAGGTATCGTCCCCTGTGCACGCAAGACAACGCACCTTCCCTTTCCTGAAAATTAACCAATATTTAGCAAAAATGCTTAATCTGCCCTAACAAAGTGCTGTGTAAGTATCAAGAGAACGAATATCAAGGCTTTAACAAGGAGTGTCAATATTGACACTGTTCTGTGCTCAGGGATATTGGTAGGTTGTTTTTATTATAGTAAGCAACTTGTCAGAGGAAAACTCAGATGGAGCTTTGCAAGTGCTGATAAAACCTGCAGGTGCTGTAGAAATTGAGCTCTTGTTTGTGTGTGCTTTGAATATAATTTCCAGATTCAGAAGTCAGTTTTATTATTTTCTCATACCCCTCCTCCTTCGCAGTCTCTCCCATGATACAGATTAAACATTATTCCCAAAAAAAGTGTTACTGAAGAATTGAACACCTTTTCAACTTGTGAAGAGATCTTCCTAGTCTGGTGCGTTTGCTCCATATCATGAAAATTGCTCATCGCTGGGTCCAGGTGTCAGTATCAGGAGCAGGTTGGATACATCACTGATAGCTTGTGCAAAAACCATGGTTTCTCCTGCAACTTTTGTATAATTCTACTTCTGCTCCATGCCAGGTCATTTGTGCTCCTTGCTTGATGCCTGTTGGCAGCAGAAGGTTGATTCACTACAGCAGGTCAAGCTACATTGAATAGCTTGAAGGCAATCTCTAGCTCAAGCACCATCTCTGTGCACTGCAAAATGGGAGGTGAATCCTGCCACCAGGTAACAGCTCAGAGACTTGGCAACTTGAGGAGTTGCAGGCTGTGGAAAGGCAGGTCAAGCTCCACCTGGCATCCTGTTCACTTGGGACAAATCATTTAATCTTGGTGTGTTGGATCTTCAGTTGGAATTAAAACTCCCTTGTCTGTCTGGGTGTTGTGAGGGTACTTACATCAGTTGTGGATGAGTGTTCAGGTATGGAAACAGTGGAGCTACAGAAGGTATAAGTGACCTGGAGTTGGTGCCTGTGCCCAGGCTGGGTGTTTTCTCTGCCGACTCTAAGCCACTTGCTGCTCAGTGTCTTATGAAGACTGAATTGCATCACCTGCCTTTCAGTGGCTGGTTTACCATGTTGAGTGGGAATTGCAGGCTGGGTTGCATTAAGACTGTCCAGACGTGGCCCTGACTGCCTTAATCTCAACATAAAAGGTGACACGGCCTTTGGAGAAGATAGAGTCATGAAAGCACTATTTTCCAGCCTGAAACTTAGTTCTGTGCTTTGCAAAGATCTGGCTATTCTGGGAGTGCAGCACTTTCATTTCACCATCCTGCGGGACCCGTTTGTGTTTTCTACTCAGTTGTCAACACATTTTATTGGGATACCTACGTTTTCCATGATTGCAGTCCATCAAAAAAATGGCCAGGTCTGACCTTGCCTTAAGTTGGGTAATCCCAAGGAGAGATGGCTGCAGGGCATCTCAGGTTTTACAGTATCATGAGCTTCGTGGTACCTTTTCTGGTTGTGAGCTTACATGCCATGTGTTTGTTTCGTCCTTCTCATTTTAAACGAATCCTCAAAATGCCACAAAGCAGAATATTTCCAAATGAAGAGAGGGTTTGTAAGGCTCAGGGCAAAACAGGTCATCTGCAGATATCAATATTCCCTTACTTGACTCTCTTTTTAATGGATGTGTCTGTAATCATGTTTCAGTTCTGTGCCATGGTGGCCACAGGGGAATTGTTTCACTTGGGGAATTAGGAATTCCTTAGTCCTTTGGTACAATGCTCTTAATGGGGGAAAGACCCACAGGCTATGGAGACTTCTTGGTTTGTGGTGGCCAAGCATCTCTTTGGGGTGGACAGAGTTGTTTAGGCAACAGAATGGCTTTTTGCTGAGGTCTTGCTTGGGTGGAGAGGCAGCTTGAGCTGTGTCAACCACAGCTAAAAGCATGGCATTTAATGTATGGAGACTTATCCAAATAAGCCTGAACTGGGATCTAAGTGAGAAATAGGCACTGGTCTGGCCCTCCTGTGCAGGATGAATATTATCTATTCTCAGTTACATCCTACCAATGCAAGAAACTATTTTTAGGTGGTGTTTCCTGAGGTAGTGGTGGCGAGGGAGGGTAACTCTTGTGTGACATCCCAGCAAGCAGCAAGTAGCATCCCAGGAGATTACCTTTCCTAAACAGGGTTTCTGGGGTTAGAAAATACTGTTTATGGGTTGCCTTGTACATCCCCCTGTTTGTGTTCTCTCACTGAAGCACTGGCTGGAGGAGATCTGGGGTGGGGTCTCAGCTGGGCTCTTGACTTTACCATGAGCTCCTGTTGTGAGCCTAGACAAACCTGACCTCTCTGTTCCCCACCTCACACCAGCGAAGGAGAATAACCCTCCAAATCGTGCTGAAGCTCACATCAATGAGCTGCTTAGCTGCCAGGGAGGCAGATGTATGCATCACCTAAAACAAAGCCCCATGGAAATGCGTCTCCCGGGATCTGCCGCTGATTTTGTTTGAACGTACTTGGGGTTTCAATTTTGCTTCAGGACCAGGCCATGGGGAGGCTGAGACAAGGGAATGCATTTACTACAACGCCAACTGGGAGCTGGAGAAGACCAACCAGAGTGGTGTGGAACGCTGCGAGGGTGAGAAGGACAAGCGGCTCCACTGCTACGCCTCCTGGAGAAACAACTCGGGCTCCATTGAGTTGGTGAAGAAAGGCTGCTGGTTAGACGACTTCAACTGTTATGACAGGTAATAGCCTAACTGGTTTTTCTGAATATAGGTTTAATTGTTCCTCTGAGTGCAAAGACTCATGATTTTTGCGTCGAGGAAAAGAAATCAAGTCCAAGTCAATTGGCCCATTCATCCCCTGTAATTACTTCTGTTGCTAATGCAGCTCTCAGAATTGTCACTTATCTGCCTTGACTTTCTAAATAGAAGCTGCAAAAGGTACTTTTAGGGTTTTTTTTGTTGTGTGTTTTTCTTTTTTTCCTTAGCAAAGCTTTGATAATTCTGGCATGCTTTGAAAAACGTGTCCTGTACCATCAAATGAAAAGCAATATGTTCTTCCAAGAGCATTTGGCGATACAAAGGAAAACTTGGAATAATTTGGAGCTCTTTAGTAAAGTACAGATATCTGGGGGTGGTTAGAGGTTGAAATTTTCTGGCATTTGTGATATTGCAAAAAGTTTCACTGTTCTTCAGCTGAGTTAAGAGACGGGCCAAGAGGAAGAGTGGGGCAGCAAGAGCAATATGCGTGTTTGTGTGTCGCTGCCTGTAGCAAACCGAAAAGGAGCGAGGTTTTGTACTACAAAAGCTCCAGCCTCATTAAATAGCTGAGAAAATAAACTAGTCTTTTCTCATTTCCCTTGATGCAATTCTACAGAGGGGAAAAGAATTACAGCTAAAGAAAAGAGCCCTCTGAAGTTTCACGGTTTGAAAGGACAATGCTCAGTAGCTCTGGACTCACTCAGTGTTTCCGTTAAAAAAAAAAACAACAACCCAATGACCAACTAACCAACCCAAACCCACCCCTTTCAGTAAGGATTAACAGAACATAACATTCAAGGATTTCCCTTGATATAACACCAGTGGAGGTTGATCTCTCACCTTGGTGCAATTCCTAGCTGCACATCTTTGTAGCTTCTCATTCCAAAAGTTTAGGACATCAGATGCTAAGCTGTGGGACTTAAGCTGGAACTAGGTTTGTCCCATGGCTGGAGAGTTTTCTGCCTTCAGCGCTGTACACTATCCCTGCTTTTCTGCCCGTTGCCTTAGCTTATCTCAACTGTGACTTGTTCTTCATCTTCCTTCTATTATTAACAGCAGGGTTACTTTCCCACCACACCTATTCCCTTACCAGTTGCGTAGCCAAGCTCTCTATATAGTTCAATTTTTATTCTTTCCCAATAAATCAATCCTCCTTGGCCCATTAGTCATCCTGATGTCGATCCTTCTGAGAACAGAAGGTCACTCTAGTTTCCTACTTCCAAGCAGAAGTGTTTACTGTAAACAGATTTCTCCTTTCAGTGCCTGCTCTCATATACAGTGACACTTGTATTGTCACTGAAGTCTCTGTGCAGGGATGTAGTGGTTCTTAAACTTTGTCATAATGTGTTGCTCTGTTACAACAGTAAAAAGTTTCCAGGGCTCCTCACAAGCCTTTTTGCAGCCCCAGGGTTGAGCATCCATTATCCTGCAGCTTGATTCTTCAAAGCTGAAGTTCCAGAGCAAAGCTAGAAGATCTTCTAAGAATTAACAAACAGTACAAGTGTTGAAAGCAACGTTTGAAATAAAGGTTAGCTTTAATTAAATGAAGGCTGTTTAAAGGGAGTCTTGTTTTTTTTTTCTTCCTTTGAATGCCCTCAAGTCTTTAATGCAGGTAGTGTTGCATCCCAAGATGGCAAAAACAGATGATTTTTTGATTGATGGTGATGTGCTGATGCCCTTTCTGTCTCTGTCTTCAGCACCTTTGGATGCTGAGCTCCTGGGTGCAGCCTCGGGAGATGCCCCTGTACCTGTATCTGCAGTGTCCCCTGGGTGCAGGACACGGTCCCATTCTGCCAGGCTGCAGCTCCTCTCCTAGTGCAGGCAGCACATGCTGGTCCATGCAAAGTGCTGCCTCCTTGTTGCTAGAAGGTGAAAAATTCAGGAGTACAAGGGTTGGGACATTGTGGATGATGACTCTTTACTCTGTTCTTTATCTTAAGGAAACAAGAACGTGGCATATGTACATTTAAGGCTATAGGAAGAGGTAGTGTTTAAAACTCGACTTGTGTGCTCTTCCTTTATTTACACAGCCCCACCGGAGAGGTCGTGTTCACGTTCCCTTGGAGAGCACGTGAACCGCTACGAAACGTGCCCTCGCTGCCATAGAAAAATGTGTCATTCTCTCCCACTGTGTCATTTGTAATATTTGCTAAGTATAACATGTCATATGTACCTGGATGGCTGCCCTGAGAGCACACCAGCTCAAAGACAGGGATAATGAATTGCAGATGTGGAGCAGGCTGGTTTCACTCATTAGCTTGATTTGTTAACCAACAGATTTAGTAAAGGATGTGTTTTCTATTGAAGACTCCGATACTGATGCTGTTACATCCAAACGGCTTGTTATCTGATTTCATGAAAAAGCATCTAGAAACATTGCTTAACTTCTTGAAACATCTTTGTTTGTTTGAATAAGTCAAATAGGTGTTTTTTTTTTTTCTTTTAAGTTTTAAAAAATAAAAGCCTGAAAAACAAACCAGGTGCTTCCCAACTGAGACCTTGCAGGAGACATTTCTGCTACAGCTTTTTTTTTTTTTTTTCCCCAAAAGGAAAAAAAGCATCAAAAACTACCCTGTGTTATGATTGAAGAGAGCCCTTTCCGTTCTTCTTGTGGCAGTATGTCAGTGATACCACAGATAGGGAGGCTTGGCATGGGTTCATAAATGAGTAATAATGTCAAACACATATGATTGTTTTGCTACTTCCTCCGAGTGGTCGAAGGAAGGAAGTTATGCATATAATTTAGCTGGGCTTCAGGAAATAGTTTGATAGAGTTCTCTGTGGAGAGCAGCTCTGCAACCCTAATAGCTAAAAGCAGAGGGTAACGTAGCAAAAGGTGACAGGGAAGGGAAGCAGGCAGTTAAGAAAGAGACAGAAATGACTGCTAGAGCACTGCAAAAATCACTGCACGTCTCTTTTGGCATTGATCTGTGGGAGAGGGAGGATGTGTGGAAGTGGAGTTTGTCTGATCCGTGGAAGTCCCCTAACACCTTGCACAGTGTGGAAGGAAACCTCAGCGCTGAGAAGGCTGTAGCGCTACCTGGATAAGAAGCAAATACAAAAAAAAAGGGAGCTGCAGCCTTATTTTCTTAAAGACTTTTGTGCAGGAATAAGTTTTTTTTTTAAAGAGAAGAAGATGCCACTTGAAAATTAAACTTTAAAAAAAGCCAAACAAACCCAAAACCCGCAGTCTTCCTTCTGCCTGCAGCAGGACTGTTGTTGCTACTGGCGGCTGGTGCCCTTCTAGTGCTTATGGTGATGCTCAGGGCTGTGAGAGCAGTCTTAGCTCAGCCCTCCTCATACGTGCTTTATGGCACAATCTTTAATTGCATGATCAAACACTCTTCTCCTCTGACAGCATGCATACGGGCTGCAGGAAAGACCCTGTTCAGGGAAGGAGGCATCCCTCTGTCGTTTCTCAGCTTCTCATTCAGTTAGCGGCAGCGGCTGTTATTTATTACTCACCATCTAATGCCTTCGGTACATATGGAAGCATTTGTTTCCTTTACGGTCTTTTCAAGGATCTTTTCTATCCACTGGGGTATTTGAGTGCCAAGTTGTTTTCTGTAAGTGGAGATTGCCAATCTGTGCAGTGCAGCAGCAGGAGAAGGCGCGTGGAGAAGATGATTTGGGGCAGGTTGGCTCCCAAAGGCAAGAGGCAGGAGTTGGCTGACGTTTTTTCTCTTCCCTTCATTGTCGTGTCTGTCCCTCCCTGACGCAGGCAGGAGTGCGTAGCCACAGAAGAAAACCCTCAAGTGTTTTTCTGCTGCTGCGAGGGCAACTATTGCAATGAGAAATTTACCCATTTGCCTGAAGTCACCGGCCCAGAAGGTGAGTGACTGGGTGGACGGGAAGTTTAGGGTCTCTTCCTCTAGATCCAGTTTGTGATGACTTTGAGTTGTTGGATGTTGAACAAAAAAATATATCTGACAGAACTCAAAGTACCGTTTTGGTTGCAAAGTCTAGAAATCCTTCTACCAGGATTCTTCAAGAATAGTTTTTTTAATGTTCTTTCACTCTGTGGGTGAAGTGTGTTGTACCAACACCTCGTATACCATCAGTGAGGATTAGATTTTCTTTATGGTGGACATTCACAGTGGGCTCTTATGAAACCAAATCCCACACAAGGGGAAGAGGGCAGTGTGATTTATATAATATGAATCAACTTAGACTCTTAAAAGGTATTTGACACCTTCATTAATTTTCATAGGTCTCCCCATATCTTGGGCATCAAGGACTTTTTACATTTGATTGGTCTTTTCTTGGTCTGGGAATTGAAAGGGAATGGGTATGTGTGTCAGCTTTCAGTTTGTGGATATACTTAAAGGAAGAAAAGTAATAGCAGGTTCTTCTTCAGAGGCTAATAGAAAAATGATGACTCTTTTAGCTACAGACTTGCTAAAGTATCACTCAAAAAATATTAAAGCATGTAGATCTTTTCCTTAGGATGGTTTCTTTTGCTATCAACTACCTGCATTTACTGAGATGTTCCAGTAGACCATTATCAGATTTTCCTGGGCTTTCCTGTTAGGTTTTTAATTGTTTACATGGGTTTTATTATCTCCTGTTATTAATGTACCCGTGGCAACCTAGTAGAAATATTCTTTCTCTCACAGTTTTTTGTTTAATTTGGCAAGTCTTGCTATTTTTTCCTTCCCTGTCTCCAACATAGCAACATGGCTCCATTTAGTATTCCCATTGTTTGTGTCTCAACTGCACTGATGTAATTTGGAACAAGAACTACTGTGGGAATAGCGCATTTGATTGTGGCTCCGGCAGCATTTTACTAAAAACTGACATCTTGTCAATCACTTTAAAAGGCAAAGCAACGCTGCAAGGGATTTCGTGCTCGCTTAATACATTCGCAGGGGTTAAGAGGAGGAAATTTTCTGCTTTTACGTATCCCAGCAAGAAACGCCCATCTTAAATAAAGGTCAGATGGAGGCTCAGCTTGCAAAGCGTGGTTTGGACCACTGTAACTCCATTAGGATAGCCATATGGAAAAGAGTAAACTGCGGAGCCTTATGAATACTGTTGGGTGTGATGGGATGTGCCACTTAAGCATTGTCAGCTTTGGAGTAGAAGGCAGGATGGGGTTTGGTTGCATCTGTCCGTGTAGCTGACAGTGCTGTTGCATGCCTGAAGGGTCCTTTCCCTCGTTTACCCTGCTTTTTTCTTGCAGTCATATACGAGCCACCACCACCAACGCCCTCTCTGCTCAACATCTTGGTGTACTCGCTGCTCCCCATCGCTGTCCTCTCCATGGCCATCCTCTTGGCCTTCTGGATGTACCGTCACCGCAAGCCTCCCTACGGGCATGTCGACATTAATGAGGTGAGGGAGAAGCCATGGGCTTTTCCAAGTTGCTCCCCTGTGTTCAGACCTTATGAAAGGCACAGAGACTGCTCAGTGTAGTTCACATCCACTTTTGCTTCAGTCTTCCCAGGTGGTCTAACTTTTCTTCACTCTTTTCAGGTGGCCTAACTTTTCTTCTCTATCTTTTTGAAGCTGGTGGTACAGTTGGCCTCTCTGGCAGTGACAGCATCCTCCATCAGGCAGATGGGGTTAGATGGGGTTATAATCATGTCCAGGATTCCTCAGGGATGGGGTTACACAACCCTGCTTGGTGGCTACCCTTCCTCCCAAGCACTCAAACCCCTGGCCTGGTTTCAGCTGGCTTTGCAGAGGAGCAGAGATCATAGAGATGATAAAGTCCCTACCTATGGGGTGAGAGGAGATGCTTTCCTTGTTGAAGCTCAGTTTTTATGAGCCATCAGGGAATGCATACAGGAGGTCATCCTTGTGGCCCAAAGCCATCAGGAACTGGTCCTTGCTGGATCTGCTGTGCCCTGAGCCTTCTGGTTTCTTCTGAAGGGCCAAGCAGCTGCCTTTCCCTCCCTTCTCTGCCCATTCCAACCCATGCTGTGAACCTTTCCCATCTGAAAGCAGATAGGACAGAGCTCCAACCCCACACGTCCTGCAGGATTGCATTGTTCTTCTGGACAAATGCAGAGTTTAAACAGATGCAATCTTTATGATGCTGACAGACCTGTTTACTGCCTATTGCTGGGGTTATATGAAATGCACCTAATGAAGTGTAGAGCAGTGGGAGGTTTTAGGTGTAGTTGGCTGTTGGGTCACAAAGATCAAAAAGTTCCTACTTTTGGCAGGAGGTAGCCTTGAGGTCATCAGTATTTTACAGCCCAAAATAGCTCTTGCTTTGAAAACATAGGAGAATTCAGGTTTTGGCAGAGGAGGGCAGGCAGTAGTTTGACACACAACGTGACACTTGGAGGCATAGATTGTAATACCCTGCAAAGCAAGGTAGGGAATTTTGGGCTGCTCTTGCTGCAAATAGTGCATCTAAATAATTTGTATTAAATAAAATGTCACTTCTTTACCCCTCTTTCTCCCCACGCGGTCTCTCCATCCCTCTCCTCCCTTTGTTTTACAGTCCAGCTTCAGCTTGGGACAGTGTTTTTCTCTCATGCAGGACCCCGGCCCGCCACCCCCTTCTCCCCTGGTTGGCCTAAAACCTCTGCAGCTCTTGGAGATCAAGGCAAGGGGACGCTTTGGCTGCGTGTGGAAGGCTCAGCTGATGAATGACTACGTAGCAGTGAAAATCTTCCCTATTCAGGTGAGAAGGGTATTGCATTAGGTTCTCACGCATCGGGCTTCCTCACTGGTGCTGAGATGCTCTTAAGTGCCTATGGAGGTGTTTTTAAGACCATAACAAAGATGCATTTGGACTCTTCTGCTGGGGGAAAAAGTTCAAGGACGATCCCTTCCTATGCTTTTCTTTGTGTTACCTCATTACCAAATGCTTCCTGTAGTCGTAGTTGTTGCAAGAAGGGCAAAAACAAGCACGTTTTGAAATCTAGATGGTATTTTAACTTCACTGTAAATGACCATGTTGTTAAAGTCCAGCGAGGCAGCGTGCAGCTGCGATGCCCAGAGTGCACACAATGGACCAAAACCTCGGCTTTGTGTGTCCTGCCTGGGTAGATTGTAAATCTACCCAGATTTTAGACCCAAACCCAGCAAACAGTTTATGGCTTACAGAGGCACAGCCCCAGTGCTGTGAAAGCTAATTGCACTGCAGCATTTCTGTCAGCTCACATCTTCCGCTCTAGGAAACCTTTGAACGCTTCTGACTTGACTCTCTAGGAATTGCAGATGGAAAGAGAAAAAATGATCAAAAGTCAAATGAAAGAAGAATGACTGAAACATCTTTGTGCTCCTCTGCTATCTCCTTCTTCGTTAATTTTTTGCCCTGTATTTGTTGTCATAGCGTTGCTAAAGGAGATTTGCACATCTTCTGTCCAAGCCAGCTGTGACCTACTAGTAAATATTCAAAAGAGCCTAGATTAGATTTTGCAGTCGTAACAATTACAGCTACAATGCAAATCTGGGTGCTGTATGCACAGGCTTTATTCTTGCAAGTATCCTTAGGAAATCTTGACAAATCTTATTTCTCGGTGAGAGATTGGGTTTGGATTCCTCCCCCCCTCCCCACACATGTGCTTTAGGAATAGCTGAGGATAATTTTGGAGAAAGGAGACTGAGAACAGCAACTTCCAGTCTTTCTCCAGCATCTACCCTTTAGGAAAACGGCCTCATTTTGAAGAGATGCATCACATCCGAATGCCGGAGGATGATATTAAGGGGAACATGAGCAGCTCTGACTGAGCTGAAGGAGCTGTTTGCTTTAAAGGGAAGCGTGATCTTTGATGGTGCATTTCTCCCTGCTTTAGGATAAGCAATCTTGGCAGAGCGAGAGGGAGATTTTCAATACTCCTGGCATGAAGCATGAAAACCTTTTGCAATTTATCGCAGCAGAGAAAAGAGGGACAAACCTAGAGACCGAGCTCTGGCTGATCACAGCTTTCCACGACAAGGTAATGTGTCATTGCACGTACATTTTGGGAAGGCAGAGAGGCAGCTGGTTGTGAAGCAGCAGGATTTGGTGTCTCATATTCTCCCAGAAACTTCCCTGTAACCTCTCCAGGCTGTCCCTGGTGAGCCATGGCTCAGTGGTAGTGGAGAACTGCTCTTGCTCCCCTCATTTAAAGGCTCTTCCTTTACCTTTCAAGGCTTTTCTACACAAACATAGGATTCTGTGATTCTATGATTAATGAAGGTGGGACTTGGGGAGAGAGAGAGAGGCACAAATGGCCACAGCGCACATATGTGGTGGTCACCATCTCTTGACGTGCATTAATGAGCACGTGGGAGCTGGGGGTCACAGACCATCATAGTCCCAACTCACCCCTTGCAGATGGGTTCTGTGTTTGCTTTTGAAGCTTGGGGCATATCTCCCGTTTGATAGATTGCTTTAGTTATCAAACATGACTAATACTAAAATAAAACAAACACATACAAATCTGGGGTTGAGCCAGCAATGTTATCCTTCTGTTTAATCCAAGGTCTACTGAGTCAATCATTGCCACAACCAGCCGATACGATGCATCATTTTCTTGCATGGAAGGCTTTCCCCTTTCTTAAGTTAGATGAATTGCTCTGTTTTGAAGTGATTTTGTCCCTTCCTTACCACCCTTCCCTTCCCTGGCAGATTGGTAGACTCCTTTTAGACTTCCAGATGCTTTCTGTGCTGTCAAGGGCTGAGGAGTCATGAACACTTCTGGTTTTCTTTCTTCCTTCTTCTTTTTTACTTTTGCCAGTGATTTTCTTCCCCCTATTAAACCAAGGCTCAAATTTCTCAAGCACTCATTAAAACCATTTTCTAAACCGATGAGTTGGCACATCTGTCACGTAGCAGGGTCTGCGATTAAGAACGTACGATGTCCTGTTTTGCAGGGCTCTCTGACGGATTACCTGAAGGGCAATATTATCAGCTGGAATGAGCTCTGCCATGTTGCAGAAACAATGGCCCGTGGCTTGTCCTACCTACACGAAGATGTCCCTTGGTGCAAAGGTGAAGGACACAAACCTGCTATAGCACACAGGTACAGCTTCTTTCATTGACACCGTTCAAGCGGTGTGTCAAATGTTCGCAGCCTCTTTGAAATGATGTTGAATGGAGGAGAGCGTTGTGCTTTTAGGAAGTAAATGCCTTTTAACCAAACAAATCCTATGCTGACAAGAATTTTTTTCAGCCACATATGAAATGGTGAAGGGCAAGTAGTCAGAGTCTTGTCTATGAAACAGTCAGTATGGCTGGCAGTGGTTTATGGCAAATGTCTGAAGTGTAGGTGCTTCCCTCTTCCATCAACTCTTCTCTTGATGTGTAGTGGGAAGGGAAATCTGGTTGTTGCAGAACCTCTCTTTGAAAGGACTGTTCTTGATAAATCACATTATAATCTGTGTGTTTCTATGGCCATACTAAGATTTGGGCCCTTTTTTTCCCCTAAGTGTTTTAGACTGATAACTCCACTGTGTGTCTTCCCACAGAGCTTTTGATCATTAGGTAAGAAAAGGAAAAAATGTGGAAATGCAGAAAATGGCTGCTACTTATTTTTCACAGTGGTTTTATAGTGCCCATATCATGCTGGGATGCTTGTGAGAGACACCAGAGGAGGCACCAGGGTCCTTCTGAGGCCTCTTGGAATGTGCTTCAACCCACCTGATTGGCAGCATCATGGGGACTGCAGGAATCCAGAAGGAAGTGGGTTAAACCCTCCTCATCGCCACAGTACTTGTTTTATCCCTTCTGCAAAGTCCCACATTGCTTGCCCTGGACTAAAGGATTGCTACCGAGCGGTTTGCTGGTGGCATGGCAGGAGGGGGGAGTTTTCCAGAAGGGATTTACGTGGGCTACCCGCCGTAATCCGCGGCCGTACTCCCCCACCACCCACTGCATTTCATCTAGGAGGGACTTAAACCCCATGTCCAGCTGCAGCAGTTTATACCCGATCTAGCGAGGCTGTGTTCATCTACTGCAGGATAATCCCTGTTTCTGCAAGGGTGTCCCTTCCCCCAAAACAACCCCCCTTCCTGAACCTGAAGGTTTCTGAGAGCTGAGGGCTGTTGAAAGAGCCCACAGCTGCCTTTGTGCTACTCCTGGAGCTGACCCCTGTGTCCCTGACATTTGTCCTTGTGGAATAAAGGCAGTGGTTTATACATGAAAATTCCTGAGGGTGGGGAACAGAGAAAGGCTATAGAAAGGCTTTAAAGCAACAGATCGTGCTCATTAGCGTCCCCATCCATTTAGCAAATGATAAAAGATGGAGAATGCACCATTTGTGTGAATTTAGCACATACCTACAGAAGAGGGATTTCAGGACGCAGGGGATTTCCCTTGGATTACTCCACTCCTTTTAGTATTGTTTTTGTTTTAGAAAAAACCCACCAAATATACATTTTAAATCTGGAGGAGTGAGTATTTTTGAATGGCTTCACACACAATGGGTGTGAGGGTGCTGGAGCTGCCAGGTGGGACCCCCTGAGTCACTGCTGGGCAGGGGTTCAGCTAACTCCTTACTGGCCCCCAGCACTACAAGGAGGATTAAGGTTCTGGGCTCGCTTGTTGGTGTGAAAGTGCCCCCGCGTGGAAGCTGAAAAGAAAATCTCTGGTGTCTGAATCGAGTTAACACACCCGTTGTTCATAGTCCGAGGTAATAAGAGAGCTCACTCACCCTCTTATTCCCTAGTTTGAAGCATTACATGAAAAAGAGATTTTCTTCTTTTCAGGCCACTTTCCTTTATCAGTGACCATTTTAGGATGGTCTAATGCATACGATGTTCATGGGAATTCTACTTGGCATGACTTGGTCTTTCTCCATGTCTTGGATATGTTTGCATTGCAGCTCACATTTGTCAGTTCAAAGTGCTTTGTGGAAGGAAGGAAAGCATGGAAAAATGGGGGGAATGTATGGAAATAGGGGGAAAAAAGGAAGTGCAAGGGGAAATTCCTGCATCATGTATCAAGATGTAGTAGTTAACTGTTGCATGCCCAAAAGGCAGTGCAGGTGAATAACAGCAGCAAATGCCCATACAATAATCCTGGTTTACTTCTCACTTCACCCTGGAAATGTCTTGTTCAGGCAGACTGTCTAATAATTTCTGTGTGGTCCTTGTTGAGCCACTGTTCTGCAAATATCTCGTGCACAATCTGTACCATCCTGGAGGGCATAATCCCCTAATGCTGACCGAGCAAAGGAGTTTATCTGTGTCATTAGAGGCTGTTTTCTAAGCTATAGCATGGAAGCAGTCAGTCTCTACGACAACAGGTATTAGGTAAACGGTGTTTTTTCTGTGTAACGGAGGGATACAAATATTTTGTAGGCTCTGTAAAAGTGTATTGTGTCCCTAGAAACACCGTGTGTCCCCTTGAGGTGCTGGAGGCTGGTTTCTGCTGGGATTCCCTGGCTATATGATGCTCTCCAACTTCACACCCATTTCGCCTGTCTTAATCCTCAAGTCAGAAATGCCCATCACGCTGTGTTTAGCTTAGAAAGGAAAAATCTTTTCTTCTCATTTTTGAAGCTCAGAATCGGAGGCTGGCTGGATGATTTTTGCTCATGATCCTTTGAGCTGGTGCTCTGGCATCTGAGGCCACAGTGATCCACTCTTCTCTATGGTCCAGCAGTTTCTCTCTTCTCAAAGAATTTTGACAGGTCTCTCTAGTGCGGAACAATTGTATCTGCCCTCATTAATTATTTTGTGCAGGCCTGCAATGTCCTGCAATCAGCAGGGTCACCGAGTGAATTGATGATAGGGAAATTATAATGCTGAGCATACAGGACAATTGCCATCTGCTGTCTAAGGTCTGTAATTTAATTAGATTGCCAAACATTCCTTTTCAGATGAAAATGCAGGAAGCCCAGGGAACAGGGCTTGACTGGTTAGGCATCTCGGTGTGACCCTCCTCCACCCCCTGTAGATTTACCTGAGCTGCCCTGAAATGATCTTGCTGCAGCATGGGACTGACACAAATGTCCCCTTAAAGCCACCTTCAAGCATAGACCCACCCATCTCTACTGCAAATGCTTACACCTGCCCATCAGCTGCCTGGTCTGATCCTGACAGCTTGTCTGAGTGTGGGCTCGGCCCCTCCCCTGCTTGCTTTCCAACCCTCTGAATTCTCCAGGGAAGATCAATCCAGCAATTAAAACATAAGTGTAATAGATGACTATGGCAAAAGTCTGTTGAAGCATGTAGTCAGGGTGAAGAGTGTCCCACCAGCATCTGCTAATTCCCAGGAAAATCTAATTTTGTAGGTAGGAGCAAACATCCTTACTAGGATAAAGAGTAAATGCGCCACCTTAACCTGTCTTGCATTTGTTGTTGGGAGCGAGAAATGTAAGAAGTATCCAGAGGATGGGGGTGCACAGCTGGTGCTCAGAGCAAGAAATGGTGCTTTATACTGCCTGCTCTAATTAAAACACCCTCTTCATGTCACTCCTTGCTTTTATTTTGAGGTTAATTCACCGTGGAGTTTGGTTGACTCTGCTAGGCACCACAGGGCTGCTTGGTTGTGTTTTAGGGACATGGGCAGTGAGGAGCAGCCGAATTTTCCAGCACTGGCCATGCCGGGCAGCCAGGGAAGGAAGGAAGGAGCTGATTTACTGGGGGTTGCTAAGCCTGTAGACTTACAATGTGATTTAGACGCGTGCCGTAATAAACCCTTCCCAAACTTGCTTCTTGGCTCGTCCATAGGGACTTCAAGAGTAAAAATGTCTTGCTGAAGAATGACTTGACGGCAGTGCTAGCTGATTTCGGATTAGCTGTACGGTTTGAACCTGGAAAACCTCCAGGGGACACTCATGGACAGGTAATCATTATCTTTAACAATAACATTTTAGAAAGTTAAACTTGCCATAGCTCCTTGGGAATGGGGGGTAGTTTGTATAGATGCATTTTATTCTCTGTGAGATATGTATTTTCCATAAAAGCTTGTACACAGACATAAATTCCAGGAGCTGCTTTGATCTGGGTGAGTGGGGGGTGTGTTCAGACCCTTCCGACTGCTGTGCAGGTGGGGTCCCCACACCCTGGGGCTAGGCAGCTTCTTCCTTCAAACATGAGACTTGCTGACTCTTTATTGTCTCAGTATTAAATATTAATACTCCTAAAATTATTTATTTAGTTTTAAGAATTCAGCCAGGGTGGCTGCTTGGGTGACCTTTAGCAACGGCAGATCTTGCGAGCTGGCTGTGCGCTGTGTAAACAACTTACTGTGTTTTTATGGTTCTTAATTTTCTGCCTTTGCATTGCGGCGAGTGGCCCCTTGTTCTGCTCTCATGCTGGTGCACAGCAAGGCCAGGATCCTCTCCGTGTGCCTCCGGGGTTTTTTGAATGCCTGTCTCCATTGCAGGCTCCCTTTCTACCTTTATCTCAGAAGGAGGGAACACTTTTCTGGGTTACCCCCTCCAGCTTTCCTCATTTTTACCTTCTTTTTTTTTTTCAGCTTTTCCAATATTTTCCACACTTTTTCACATCCTGGTTTCCCCCTGTCCCCATTGCCTCAGGTAACAGCAAGAACAGATGAGAATTTCCTAAAGGAAAATATTAAAAGCATTTTAATTCCCGTGTTAAAAAGGTGCTTTTTTTTCCTTGCTCTGCTCTCCACTCTCTTACATTATGGGCTATAATTCTGCCACAGCCCCATGAGGAGCTTGGTATGGCTCTGCCTGGACTAAACACAACAAGATAGTCACTATAATGAGGACTGAATCCCCTCAAAGCCAGAGGGGATCTTTTCTGAACAGATCACAGCAAGCCAGGGCAGGGTAGACTTCACAGGGTTCATGCTTTACTAATCCTATAGATGCAGGAAACTTGTTTTATTCAGGGCTGTCAAACCAACACCTTTTCCTACCATGTCAGGATATATCAATTTTACTCTTCTCTTTTTTTATATCTATCTATCTATATATATATTTTTTTTTTGAAGTGAAAGGGGATTGAACTTTCAACAACTATGATAAGTCTGACTTGACCTCAGGGTGTTTTGTGCGTCTCCAAAGAGCATTTTCTCATGCAGAGTGTGCTGCTGAAGCAAGATGTGATGGGACGCAGAGAAGGCAGGATTTCATCCATACTCACCGTGCCACGCTGCATTTAAATTAGATTTGTAGTGTACACTGAATGAATATCACACACGTAGCTGTGGACTTTGCCTTTTTCCTTCTGGTAGCTTATCTAGACTCGAGTGATCTTAATGAGAATCAGTGTCAGAAAAAACAGCCCCTTTTTGCTTGTTTTTCGAGTGAGGTGCAACTTTAGCAGAAGTAGCCTTAAGGCTAATGAAACCAGCTGTCATTCATCTCCAACCAGCAGAGGCTGACGGGCCCAACTGGAATGTAACTTGAGTTGTTTTTTATCTCTCTAGGTGGGAACAAGGAGGTATATGGCTCCTGAAGTGTTAGAGGGAGCAATCAACTTCCAACGAGACGCCTTCCTGAGAATAGACATGTATGCAATGGGACTGGTGTTGTGGGAGCTAGTCTCCAGATGTAGAGCAGTTGATGGTAAGAGTAAAGATTGTCTCTTCCCTGGGGAGTGTTCTGTGTCAACGTGGTTTGGTGGTCCACAGAATGGGCCTGGTTTTGTTTAATGAAAAACAATAATCACTGGTGTATTTTTAAGCAACAAACCTGTTTTTCCCTTGCTTGTTTTTTAATGTAAGCTGTCATTCTCTGTTGATAATAACCCTTGTAGTGTTCAAGTCTCAAAGTGCTTTTAACTATGCTGGTTACGTTGTAAATTGGCTGAGAACTCGGAAGGAAAAGGAGTAGGTGATTCTTCTATCAGTGGCGGCTGTCCTTTAGTCCTGAGCCTGCTCTGTGCTGCTCTCTGCAGCACTCTGCAGCACTCTGCATTACTGCCTGTGACCAAGGCACGCTTTGAGCTCCAGAGAAGAGCCATGCTTAGCTCTGGCTTGGCTGTCACGCCTCACTTCTGCAGGCCAGTGTGGTCGCCTGAATGGAAAGCCCAGAAGTGAAGCACCTCAGTGAAATAGTAGGAACACAGGGTTGGAAAGATCTCCTTAGGTCAGCAAGCCCATTTCCCTCCTATCCTAAGTTGTTAGGTATTAGTCTTTGACTTTTGCTGATCAAGCTTTCTCTCAGCAGTGGACTGAGTTTGTTGTTCCATCTACAACTGTGGAGGATCTCATTTTCTCCTGAATTATCCAAGAGAATGAACTTCCCTGGTGTCTCCTGTCTCTTAGGTTTTTTTATCCTAAAATGATCATAGAATCACAGAATCGTTTGGTTGGAA